TAATAGAATAATCCAATTATATACAAACTCATAAATCATCACAAATGTGTTGTCAAAAATCAAAAAGCTTTTAATATGTACGTTTGCTTCACAGCTGTATTAACAATTACACCTACTGGTTCTTACCTTGATGGGAACTGAAATGGCATTTAAAGGCTGCATATGAGGGAGGGCTACCAGACCAAAATTTTTCAGAACTGTTAATTTAGTTGTGATAAGATTTGATGTCCCTGGGGCAAAGTTGAAGTAGAGTACAGTGTTCTTGTTATCCTTCAGCAAAACTTAAAATATTGTTGTAGGCAGTAGTTAATTAGAGTAATATCAGTTTAAATGCCTGTCATTCAGGGTTAATGGTATCAAAGAGTTCCCTTGTGCTTGGAGTCACATCTTCTTGAATAGCCTATTGTATGATAGTAACATTAGCGCAGTGATTTCACTTTTGCCATAGATTATTGGGTCGACAGTTAATATTTCAGTTTCTATATTTAAATAATTTTGGCAAGTTCTTACTAAATATGAAGTTTTCCAGGCAGGGCTGTTTTAATAGGTATTTTGGCTCTGCATGGTTGTTTAATACAATACAATGAAAATTCATTCCTATTTTCGTTTAAAAAGAAACACTTTCTGCTGGCCTACTGTGAAAACAGGTCATGCCCTCCTCAGCTGGATAGCAGACTATTCTTGAAAATAAGTAATTTGCGTTTTTGTGCAGCCAAGCAGCAAAGTTCTTTCAAAGCATGTTAGTAAAATGAAGTGTGTTTGTTTATATTAAAAACAAAACAAACAGCCACCAATCTTTACTGTAGTTGAAGTGAAAGGAAATGTATAGTTTCTACAGTTTTTAACTAGATAATCTTAGTTCTTGTTAGGAAACACTACAGACTTTTTGTTATACCGTATGAAATAAATTTATTAGAGGTTTTTTTTTGTTGTTTTTTTTGTTTTTTTTTTTAAATCCTGATACCTGTTTTATCAGCTTAGAAGTCACTCTTTGCAGCAGCATGGACAGTGAGCCAGTGTCTCAAGGCCCTGTAATAATTCTTCAGCGGTTGTTATTTTGTATTGTGTTCAACAACATCCATACAACCATGAGCAGGATTCAACGTGATGAATTTTGCTTGGACAGAAGTGGTGCTTCTAGGGTATTGGATCTTGTGATTTGACAAAAAGCAAGTAAGAAATATTGTTTGCATTTCCATAAACCATTTGTTGGAGTACAATTCGTAAGAGATGTGGGCTGTTGACACACTTCAGCCATTGTCTATGCTGCATTATTCATACTGGTTAAAAGGTATTGTGGTTTTAACTGTCCTTGAACTATCTAGCATGGCTTTCCAGTGCCAATACATTTTCTGTTTTTGGAAGTCAAGTTTACAACATCAAGCTTTTCTTTTCTTCCAAGTTTACCGTCCATGAAAGTTACATATGTGATATTACTGACTTGGATTTGTTCTTATGCAAGGTGTCAGGGTGAAAAGGCAATGAATGTTCTTCAGTACTGCAGAATATCTTTAGTATGTAATAAAGTATTTCTTTCAAGGCATCATAATATCAGTGTGAGGTTCACAGTCTCTTCTGCATCCCTGTTTTTTTGCAGTGGCTCATTGCATGGTCACTGAATTGATGAAGAAATGTGGATGAGTTACAGCTTTTATCTTTAATTTCTATGGAGACTACTATCTCCTGACAGACTGTTTTCTGTGAGCTGCTCTTGCAAACAAACAGTGCATACAGCGGTATGATAGGGAAGACAGAAAACAGTTTTGCAGAAATAGACTTTCTTGTACTTGTCAGTTGGTATCTTTCATTAAATAAAGTAAGGCACATTTTTAACAGAGGAGAATAAATGTCATTTTCACTTGGAAATATATTCACATTAAAATGTGCTTTTGGTTTCACACCTGTGGAATAATTGAACTTCATCAGGAAATTAGAACAAGCATTGGTTGAACAATTAGTGTTAGTTCTGCATACTTACTGTAAAGTTTCAGTAATACTTGTAAGTTGTAAGTTCAGTAATACTTGTAAGTAGTTGGAATTCAGCAGTAGGTCTGAAAATTGGTTACGAAACTGAGAATTCAGAAAATCCTTTTCCTAAGAATGGATGAATTAGATTTCTTTTTAATTATTTTTTACTCCATATTAATTAAAACAAACAAACAAAAAACCAAACAAAAAATCCTACTGTTCCTGTTTTTAAATAATATATGATTTATTGGGATTCACTGAAGACTTGTAACTTAAAAAGCCACAAGTTGTAAGCCATGAAGTTCCCACGCTCACCCTGGAAGTCGAGGAGAACTACATTCCAGCAAGCTACCTTGCCTTTCTTAGATTAATTGTGCGCTGCAGCTGGGCTGATGCTTGGCTAATGCCATACAAGTATTAGAAATGTGTTAACACTAATCTTTTTAATTGCAGTGTAAACTCTATTAAAGAAAAAATAGGATTGCACATTTCTTTATTTTAAATGCAACACCTACACTGACTCTGTTAATGAGATAAAAACTAGAAATGACATCCATTATGCCCTCCTACTTTCAGCTCTGTCCATTCATCTGTGAGCTGAAAACTAAATAGCTAGGTCACACTAGAATTTAGTGGAATAAAAGGGATGTTAACTGGAAAACTTAGACTGTCCTTCTCAGATATGGTAAAATGTGACAAGTTTGTAGCATGTTCAGTATTTTAACAGATTTTTATGTTTTCTTTATTCTGAATAGCAGGTATCACAAAAAGGCATGGGTTTATTTAACTTGTAGGAAGAAGGAAGGCTTGATAACATTTGACAGTTACCTCAGCAGTTCTCTCTGAGAAGAGGATACACAGTTTATGCCAATATGAAGATTGTGTTCTTTCTTTTCTGCATTCATGAGATCAGTGTTAGCTGATTGAAGTGAATGATCCATAGGAGAAAACAGAATAACAAAGATTCCCAAGATATGTCAGACGGAACAGGATGAACTTGAAGTTTTAAGGGATCAGGGACATCTCGCCCATCTTCCTTCTTCACGTATTTCCACACTGGCTGGAAAATTTAAAAAGAGAGATTGTTATTCTTTCAACATAATAGGAAAAATATTTCATCAGTGATTGTACTGTTGTACCTTTTGCTACACTGAGAACTTCATCCTGTCTGTTTCATATTATTCTTACAGTAAAAATATCCTGAAAATAGTGCACTGTTAAGAAAAAAATAAGGACTGAATTGTTGTCCATGCTTTTTTGGTGGCATTTTCAAGAATGTTATCTTTCTTTAAGATTTTTTAAGGACCTAGGGTTAAAGCTTTTTAGGAGTAGTGACATTGCAGCTATTTGAATGTTAATGTGGTCCAGTTAAAACTTTGGGCATCTCTTAACAGAAATTAAGCTTTTTTGTTTGTTTGTTTGTTTGTTGTTTTGTTTTTTTGTTTTGTTTTTTTTTGTTTTTTGTTTTTTTTTTTTTGTAGTTGTTAGTTATCTTGTGTCTCATCATATCATCTGAAAACTAATCACCAGAGGTTTAGCCTGGAAGATCCAGGAAGTTAGGATGGGGAGATAAACCCGAGATTATGTTTGTCACCAGACCAACTGAACTTCTACTGTGCTGCTTCGTGGGGGAACAGTTTTGAATCTTGTGCATAGGACAGATTCACATGGAGAAGAGCTTTGGTGAGGAGTAGTGTGACATCCAGGCTAATGATGAAATCTTGCAGTGGGCTCTCTTCACGTGAAGGCCCAGATTTCATTCAGGTGCTGTCATATTAGTTCTTTGGATATGGAACAAAGAAGATGGCTCACTGACCTTTCTAAAATAAGGAAATCTGGGTATGATTTGCTTTAGCAGATTAGTCTCTGGTCCTAGTTATAAGTAGTCTGCAGTGAAACGGGTTGGAGAATAGAAGACACGGGTCTTAGAGCAGCATGTTTCTAAGCAGGAATGCATGCAAGGTGTAGTTGCAGGTTACCTCTTAGAATGAGCCATGTTACAAATGCTGTGGTAAAACGTGCCTGTTGAGGACTGAGTTTGAGTTGTTGACCCCTACTGCAGCAGTGTCATTCTACTGAATACGTCCCACTGCATCAGTACTATCTGACCAGATAATTACAGAATCTCTTACAAAAAGCTATATCCTGTAACAGTTGGTATCAACACATTCAAAAGTAACTTCCTAACACTTTAAATGAAATAAATTATTATATTTAACTGTCAGTCTCCTTACAGTATAAAAACAGATGAGTTGTAGTTCTGGCTTACTGTTTAGATAGTGTAATTTACTTTCTCTTCTGTGATTGGGATCTGTTCCTAAGTAGAAAACTGTTCAACAGCTTAGTTACTGTAACATTTTAAAAACTGACTTGTGAATCTGGTTCCATTTTCTGATTAGAACTTTTTTTTTTCTTGTTATTCTGTACATAGCAGCTAGATATTAACATTTGCAGAACTTACGGATTGACTGTTTGTAAGAGGATACTCTAAGATTTTAAGTACCCTTTTCTGTTATCCTCAAAATTTAAGCTACTCATAGCCAGTGAAGTGCCTACACTGCTTAGTGTCATGTATGAACTGAAAAGTAATCCCCACAGATTCATAAGAATAAACGAATAATTTTTGAATCACACTTAAAATTCAGATAGGAATTTGGTTTGGTTACTGTGTGTTCTTCTCATTCTATACCATCTGCAGTGTAACATGGTCAGTAGTTACTCTGTTTGTCTGCAGTAAATAGGCACTTTTCCTATTTTTTGAGGATTGAGGATGATAATAGAGAATGAGTTCTTAAGCTAGTGTAACAATTTAGGAGACTGTGATAAATGCAGTTTAAAAAAAAAGGTGAACAAACGTTTTGCAAAACTACATGGCAGTATGCTTTTTTTTTGATAAAGTTTTGATCGTCTGATTCAGAAATGGACTTGTCATTAAGAATGTTGTACTGTGACAGTGTGCACAGTACTTTGCCTTGCTCACATGGCTTATGGTTAGTTGTGATGGGAATAACCTGTATTTTGTATGTTTCTAGGATGTGTGCTGTATTTGGTGGTATCTATTGTCTTCGCCATTCTGTGCAGTGCCTTGTAGTGGACAAAGAATCAGGACGGTAAGGATAATATAAGTAACCTTCTGTTTATATACAAAATACAGATGAAAAATGTGTTAGGTCAATTTAAAAAAAAAAAAAAAAGGATTTTTCAAAGATCCTCCTTGATATTAATAACACATCAACCTTGATTAAAAGTAATTTGTGTATAGGTCCTCCAGAACAAGGAAAGTGGGTCTAGAATATAGAAACTAAATTAATTTCCCTGTGATATTACTACAGCTCCTGATCACCCAAGCTTGGAAGACAAATCATTTCAGCTGCCGAGGGCTGGTGATGAGTGATGTTAGTTTTCCTTGTGGCCTTACCTACTCTAATTGATTTTCATCAGATGACAACAAAGCCCTCTGTTATTGCGTTTTTAAAAATGGAGCTCACCTAAAGACTCATCAGATTAATCTCTGCTGATAATGCATGTCACTCCAAGAGAAAAGACTTTAATGAGTTTTTAGGTAGATTGTTGTCATAAACTATGCTGCCCTCTTATTCTAGGATAAATTCTTTTACAATATCAGGCCTGTAGGCAGGCTTAAAGTTGAGCTAAGAAAAATCAACCTGTAGTTTTTTCCATAGTGGCATTTTTTTGACACCTCGGTAGGTTATCATGGTGTGTGTTATGAACGTTCTATCAGTCATTAGACTACCTGCAGACTTTGACTCTCTTAAGATTCTTTTTTTCGATTTTCAGTTGTAGTTGAAAACTCGAAAACATTCTGTAGAAAAAGCAAGCTAGAAACTGTAGGAATATCGGTAGTTTATCTTGCTTACAAATAAGTTAAACAACATACACATAGCCAAATTGTGCAGTGTTCATGACTAGTTTAGAAACATTTTTCATAGAGTTCCAAATTTTATTAAGGTTTTAATTTTTTAGGGTTTTTTTCAGTGTACACGTAAGGACAATTCATACTTATAGACAAAGCCTTGATTTTCATCTCAAACTTCTTATTGTTTGTTTAGTATTTTAATCTAACCCTAAGTATCCACAAAGTTCATTCCAACTCTTCTCCAGACACAGCTAACATTCTGTCTGTCTCAGAAAACGAACAAGCAGTTCAGTATCTAGATCAACTGCTTTTCCACTGTTTTTTACTACCTCTGATATGCAGAGAGCAGTCAATGATAGTCCCAACCTCCCCAGTTATTTTTAGCGTGTTATTCTATCCCTTTTTGAAAGTAAGATTCAGAGGAGACAACAAGAAATGCAAACTTTTAGATGTACTTGTTTTAAAGTTTCATTAATTCACTTCCAAATTTCTACTTTTTTATTATCTAGTCAGATTATGTCCAGTGTTCTAATACATATTCAAAACTTTCTGTGCTCTTGATGGAAAGCTAATGCGTTGTTAGAAAATAAAAACAAAACAAAACAAAAAAAAAACCAGCATGTTGCTTAGTTTGAGGTTAAAGCAAATTGAATGTATTGATGATGATTATTATTTTTTTGTTATTTTCTCCATTTTTATTGTAGGTCACTTATTTGGCTTTGTGTGATGAACTTTATCAAATAAATGTCTATTATTAGTATTACTTTTAAAATACGTTTCCAATTATTTAATTATGTCTTGAAAATGGAAGAGATATGAGAAATGGAAATTTATACATCTGTAATAAAAAGATATAGCAAACACACAGTAATTTACATATCTGTCTTGAAATACTGCATACCAGCTTTGTCAGTGCTGGTAAGTCCATTTCAAGGATGTCGCCCTTAGTCCATTAGTTTGGATAATGAGCCCTATAAAGTACATTTATAACTCGTGGCACTGCAAGGAGATGGATTCTAATTTTCATCCTTTTATCTAGACACATTGAAAGAAGGTCAATGGAGGGTTCTGTATGATTCATTGTCCCAACACATATCAGATGACAGAGACCTGATAATGTCAGTGCATAAGTGTCTTCCATATTTGGAAGCAGTACTTGAAAGAAATTTTCTCAGCATCATCCTTTGAAGTAAAGTGGAGACTGATATGAAATGCACTGTCTCTTTTCTGTTCAAAATCTTATCAAACACACAGCCTGATAGCTATTCCTGAACAAAGGAGAGGAAACAACACTTAGCAGGAAAATAAAAAAAGCACATAGCTGCTTTTGCTGGCTTTGAGTGATATAACATGACATTTAATCAACCTTTCTCCTTCGATTACATGTAGGGGGGTGGCAGGGGAAATTGTTTCATAAACAATAAGAAAGGTTATAATTAGGTAAAGCTGTAACAGCTTGATTTCCTTGTTTATTTGCAATATTCAAATGAGTGCTTGTGAAAGAAATCAGGTTAACATTACGAAAAAACTTCTTAAAGTTGCAAACGTTGAACAGAATGTGACTGTGAAAAGTACTGCGTGTTTAAAGTTAATGCTTATGCCATTTGATTTTTAATTACCACTTTGCAAGTTTTCTATTACATTTGAATATAGGTATATACGTAATGTTCAGATTCCTATGAAACAGATATCAGAAATTAGCATTATGAAAGTGTGCTTACTTGTTATTAACTTCTTACTTTTTTATGTAAGTATTGCCTCCACCCTTCTTCAGTTTTCATTTCTGACTAGAAGAAGCAATGTGAAATACTAACCCTGCTAAAGCTAGCGACAACTGACTGCAGTTACTTATCTAGGTTTGATTCTCATCTTCTCTAGTTGTATAGATGGTCTTGATCACAGAAGTTACAATAATGCTTATTCCTAAGGCACAGCATGCATGTCACGATATTTACTGATAGGGGAACAATATGCAGTGGGGGAAAATAACACCATGATGGTAAACCCACAAAATCATTCAGAGTATGACTTTTCCACGTAACATGAAGTGTGAAATATATGCTGTTTTCATGCACAGTCAAATGGCAGTGTTGTTAATTTAAGTCTGTTTTCCTTATAAAGTTACACATTTATTAATACTCTTAACATGTACATAAAATTGTATGTACCATGTAGAACATGCAAGTATAGGATTTCTTTATCAATTGTTTTAGGAGTTCACATGATAAAAGTGTACAGATAATTCATTTGACAGATATATATGATGTGCCGTATAGCGTTTGAAACATACATACTTTTGTTACTTTGTCTGAATTTATTAATTTGGTTTGAATTTTTTTAACAGATGCAAAGCAATTGTTGATCATTTTGGACAAAGAATAAGTGCCAGCTATTTTATTGTGGAAGATAGTTACCTTTCCGAGAGCGTATGCGCAAATGTATGTTATAGGTATGTAGTAAAACAGTATACTGTATCTCTTCAAACAGTAATGTATTACTCTGCAAATTAAACTTAAAAGAATATTGTTCCCTAATTAATCTTTGTAGCACAGCCTAGTTCTGTGCATAGTTCTTCTCTTCTTTGTATATACTTGCAATTTTTTTCATCTTTCTGAAATGACATATTTTTCTTTTTATTTAATTACAGGCAGCTCTCCAGAGCAGTGCTCATTACAGATCAATCTGTGCTAAAGACAGATTCGGAGCAGCAGGTACATATCAATTTTGTTTCACTTACCTCTTTATGAACTGTTAATGTTTAAACTGCTTAACTGTTATGAATTAGCTTATGCTGTTGTTTCTTCTTGAATCAAGGTTTTTGGTCAGCTCTCTCTGTTGATATTTGTACTGACAAAACTGCTAGTAATACCTCTATATTTTAGTTCTGTGCCTGATGTTTCCCTGATCGTTGGTTCATGCAATATTAATTAACAGTTTCTTGTGTAAGATGTAATGTTTTTTTATAACATTCATGTCTATAGATTGAGATTCTTTTCATATTTGTTCATATCTCTTCGATTTTCTGCTTTGTCGGACTTTTAAGGTCAGCAGTCTGTGTTTTTTCTGCTGCTTCCTGTATTTCACGTATTAAATATAGTCTACAGGCTAAGAATATAGATGACAGAGAAGTGTGTTCTTCCTAACCATTGTTTCTAGCAGTCTTGCATTAAAATACTCCTCTCATTCCCATATAAGAACTGTCTTGCCAACTTAATTCCTAAACTCATCATTTTGGAAAGGACCGTGCTGTGAGGTTTTCTTTCTATTTTGCTGTTGAAGGTGTTCCAAACAAAGATGACCTTATTGACTTCTGTAAAAATTTATGTATGCGTTATCTCTGCAGGATTGATCCCACAGATTATTAAGATTATAAATCAGAAAATAAAATTGTATGGTACCTCGCCGTTATTTTCACCTTTACTTATTTCTTCGTATTTGTACATACAGAAATTGTAACTGTTCCTCTAGAGCTTTTTATATATATTGCATAAATGCATATTTATGGGATTGGCAAACTTTAGATGACAAAGACAGTTTTTCTGTGACTATGCAAATATTTATTCTGAATTTCTTGGTAAATATTTGTTAAGCTCAGATAATCTGACTGTTTTTGTAGAAGTGTAAAGGTATTAAAGCTCTGTATTTTTTGATAGATTTATCTTTCCATAATTCATTGTGTGTACCTATGCCTGGGTAGAACAAGCGTATGTTTTTTTGTGTTCTAAATTCTGCTACTGGGCAGATCTAGTAATTACCAGCCATTTCTTAATATTGTGATTTACTTGCAATACAGTGGATACCAAACAACTTTTAATTAAATAGTTGATGAAAGTAAGTAGAGTTGCAGTCTGTAATATTTTAGTGTAAGTTAATACAGCCTAGAGAAATAGCATTTCAAATCAGCTTCAATTCAGAATGTTCTCTTTCTGCTTGGTAGGTTTCTATTTTGACAGTGCCTCCAGTGGATTTAGGACAACCAGCAGTTTGTGTCATTGAGCTGTGCTCCTCAACTATGACCTGCATGAAGGACACATGTAAGTATATGCATGTGATATATGTAATCTTAACTGTGTTTCTTCTTTTGACTGTCCACTCTGGAACAAAATTTTAAGAAATTTTAACTAAATTTTAAATTCTAATTTTAAAATTTTAACAAAATTTTAATTCTTTTATTATCTACTGGTAATTTGTCATTTGAGAAAAGTCAGTACTAAGTTACTGTTGCCAGCAGATAAGAGAACTGGTCCACTGTCTGTTTTTTATAGTAATTCGGATGCTTACAGAGCATCATACAAGACTCTTGTTGCACTCGTTTTCATTTAAATTTATGCACAGTAATGATAACTTTAAAGTTCTGTTGTGGTTCTCATGACAGTGAGGTATGTTATTTTTGTTTCTAATTAAGATCAAAATTAAGCACTGCCTTTACAATCATGTGGCAAACGAACTTGGAAGTTGCAGTTTTATAAATAATGGGATACAGTTCTGTTTGCATTACAGTAATTATAAATCAATACCAACTTTTTTTTTCTGATTGCGGTGTAAAATTTCACATTGTATGTTTTGTTTATTCTGCAAGATTATTAAGGCTATTAAAGATTCACCAGAACGGCAGGTATGTTAGCGGAGAGCTCTAGGAGATTTACTCCTCCGCTGTAACTGAGATTCCACAGTCTCTTAAGTCAAAATGTGAAGATTTTTTTTTAAACTTAGACATGGTTGGTTTTCTATAATTTTTCTGTCAAGAATTTCTCTTAGCACTGTAATTAAAATGCCAAAAACCACCTGAAGTATTTTCTTGTTTCTGAAAAAAGGCATGTAAGCACAAAGCTGGGTTGAGTTATTTAAATGTTAATATAATTTTTCCTTGAACTCCTTCACAAAATATGATACATTATTTAATGAAGTTTATCTTTATTGCATTGAAATGAGTTGTATTTTAGAAATAGCTCAGTTCCAGTTATGGGAAATATTTATGTATTTAAAATTAAAAAAAAATCAACTTGTACTAATTATCTGTAAATAGCTTTTAACCTGACTGATTTCTTTTTCGAGCAATTATTTAAGATAAGTTTACAAATACATCTGCTCTTTCATCACACTGCATAAATGACAGGCACATAATCTGTATTGCCAGTTGAGTGGAACCAAACTCCTTCACTTGCCCTAAAAATTGAGACTGTAATGATGAAATCATGAACTGAACTCATCGTTCTTCTTGCTGGAAGAATTACTCGAAGACAAATGTTGGCAACCACTGTAACTAATGCAGTTATACCTGAGTAAATCAAATATAATCAAAATATGTACTGATGACTGTAACTCATAGCCATAACCTTAAAGGTAATAAAAAAGGATTTTGCAGGAAGTAAATCATGAACTTTAGTGATTTAGAGCTGGGTGTTTTGTTTTGTTGGAAGAACAGAAAGAATAGGTTGTGTTACAGTGTTTGTAGTTGTAAACATTTAGTTAATGATACAAGAAGACTTTTCATTGTCACTGCCTGTGCTCCACAGTAATTTAAGTTACTGTGAGTAAGTAGCCTAAGCAGGCAGAGTAAAATTCCAAATTCCCACTCAGTCCCAATTTAGCCATTACTGCAGGGTGTTGATTAAAGTACTGGTATCTGTGGGTTAAGTAAGTTGCTGAATGCTCGATTCTCAAGGACTATGGAATGTGCTCAAGGATGTTCTTCAAGTTTCTAGATATCATTAATTGAAAATATGAATTTGCTCTTTCATAGTCTTGCTTTTCCTGATATTAGCAGTCACCTATTCATAGAACAATATTCTCCTAGTCTGTAGTGCTGATGTTAAATTGTACTTTGATCTCTAATTTATGTGGATGAGAGAGTATAATTATAAGATTCCTGGGTGAAAGGCAGTTATTGGGACACTGATACCTGGTGTACTCAAGAACTCAGAAGTTTCAATGAATATGACTCACGTGTTGTATGTTGAAGGATGGCATAAGGAATTCATGTTTTGTGAGGTTTTTGTTTGTTTTTAAGTAAATTGATAACATTACTTTGGAATGGAAATTAGTATTTAAGTATGTATACACGAGCTCATACCTAGTATTTGTTTCAAAATGTTTCATCCTGCAACTTTGGTTCCTCAGTTTTGTGCAGAGCTTCTGTGATAAGCCTCTTAAGAAAATGTGTGTGATATATATACAGTGTATTTTACGTAATACAGTCCTAATCTGGGCTAAAGGGAAATGATTTATATGAAGAGCAGTGACTTCTAACAGCCTACTGTGCCTCTGTAAAAATTGTAATTGGTATCTATATGTCTGCATACTGGTAATTGTAATTAATTTGTGTTATCTTTCACAGATTTAGTCCATTTAACCTGTCCATCAACAAAAACTGCGAGGGAAGATTTAGAGCCTGTTGTACAGAAGTTATTCAGTCTAAATGCTGAAACAGAAAAAGGTAAAAATAGCTATGTATTATATGAAAAATAGTGCATAGCTATTATTGTACATCTGAATCCATCATCAGTGAGCATATGTGGTGAGCTGCTACTTAGATGACAGCATTTCAAAGCAAAGGAATCTGTTGAGAGCGAGATTTTGATTAGGCAGATGTCATGTTTCTTGTATTTCATGATATAATGTTCCAAGTGTTCTTCAGCTGCAGTGTACCTTTAATGTACAAGGATCACAGATTTAATTGTCTAGGACTCTTCTAATGTTTAGCACTTTTTTCTCCCATGGAAATATATTTGCTTCTCAGCACATCTTTCCAAGGCGCAGGAAAGAAATGAACTATTTGTGCACCTTTTATTTTTTTTCCAAACTCCTGTTTTTAGTGATTTCTATCACTTCTCTGTGATAAATAAATGAATAATAAAATATCACAAAACCCCAGAAGTTATCTCTTTCTTTCCTGCAGCTGCCAGATATGCTCAGTGCTCCAGTCTTCTTCTCATCTGCCTTTAACTATCCTAATGCTGTTACTTATTCTTTCCGTCTTCAAGTGCTTCCTTGTTCACTAATTCATAAATGAAATTCTCTGGATTCTGCTGTAAGCAGTGGAAGTGTGAAGTTTTTACGCACTGTGTTGTTACTGAGAAGACAGATTTCCAGTCATTTCCATTAGTTTAGTCCTAGATCTGAGAATTTGTGCCAGCTACTTTGATGAACTTTGATCATGAGATGGACAGTTTCTCATTCCCAGAGTAGCTATTGACAAAGCAGTCATCTCTGAGATACTTTGAGCCAGTTTCGCAGAAATACTTGAAATTTAGTCTCAAGATCTTGATTTTAATTGTACCTTTGATAAGTGCTCATGTAACAGATGATGTGTGTGTAGAAGCTGCTGCCATATTCTAACCCTGATAGTCTTTTTAAATAGTCTGCTCATTCTTAAATGTAGCAAATTGTAGTTCTGCTATAAGAAACCAATATTTCCCTGTCCGTAGAAGTGTTTGATTGTATATATGCAAGTAAGGTTTGGACGTATTTTAAAACACAATCTGCTTGCTTATAATAGTTTCTCTAAAGCTTCATTCCTGGTCACTTCATGAGTTCAGTTAGAATTTTCTCATGTTGGAAAAAAAGCAACCAGCATGTTCTTTTATGTACATACTCCTTGTTTTTCCTCTCAGATTTCTGTAACCACAAAAATGTTTTGTGAAAAGTTAATTTCTTTTTCTTGTAATCTTGCTTTTCTGTGTTTTTTACCTACTTTTTTCGTTTTTTAGTGAAAAAGCAAGTAGCTTATTGTGATTGCACAATAGTAGGAAACAATGTTAAATTAAACCCATTTTCCTACTTTTTTGTTTACAGGAAAGGCAAGCTTTATTTTGATGTCCCAAAAATGTAAATTTTTCAGTAGATTTGTAGTGCAAGAGCCTATATAAGAGAAATATGTTATTTACAGCCAGAGTTTGCAAGTAAAAAACGTGCAGCAAGCGCTTTTCATGTTTGCATTTGTTAATTTAAAGCCTGCTGATTTCAAACCATAAACCTTTAAAATATATCTTAAATTTTCAACACAGTGCCATGTAATTTGAAGAATCAATTGGTGAAGAAAAGATTAGCTTGCAGTTTAGCATCTTTTAGTCATTGGGGGAGGGGAGATAACATTAATCTTAATGTTTAAAGTGATCCAGTTTTGAAATGATAGATTGTTTAGAACCTGACTGAAATTCTTCTGTAGAAACTGCATGATCATGAGGTCCTCAGGTGCACTGAGGCACTGAAAAGCTAGTTTTCACTGACACACAGGCCTTTTTATCATCAGGATGAGGTAGTGGTCGTATTTTAATTAAAATGTCAGAACAAATACTGTTGGAGTTATTGAAAATGAATCACCAGATAAAGTGAGCACTGGGCCATGGCAGGTCAAAGAGGCAAAGTCACCTGGAGAAGAGGACTCCATTCATTTTCCTGCCTAGACGAGGAAGAAGTTACTTTTATGAGCAATGTGAACTTTTAAATATATTAAAGAGCATCTTGCCCTGTATTAAGACTCAGATTTTCACAGGCTGATGAATTTAATTTATATTTGAAATTATGCAAGATGTTTAGCACTTTTTTTTTTTTTTTTTTTTTAAAGTATTTGACAGTTATAAAAGGATACTAAAGGAGTAGCATAGCTTTATCTTTTTTTTCTAATTCAGGTGTTTTAAAATATTGTTTTGAATGTTGACATCTAGTATTTTCTTCTTTGGAAAGAAGGAAATTTCACATGGTCTTTTACAGGTTTCCTTTATTTTCGAGGATCTAAAACAGCAAAAATGGGACAGCAAATATGCCGAACAAATAGTATCTGTTAAGCCTAGAAACTGTGTTGTGTTTGTTGCATTCTGCGCTGTTAAAAAGTGACCTTCATCTTCTAAGAGGTTTTTTTTGTTTGTTTGTTTTGTTGTCAGTGCACTGAGGAATTATGTGAACATGCAAGAAGGTATAAGCCGAGACTAATCAAGTCACAATTTATGGTCATTTTGTATTCGTTATGTACAAGTATTGTAACACAGTGCAAGTCCACAAGTATAGATAAATATAAATTAGTGAATGATTTTCACTTAGCGGTATTTCCAAAGTATAGAGCCTTTACGTGTTGCATATCTCAAATAGAATGCTTCTGGTTTTAGGAGCATTCTTTATCTGCAGTTAATACAAGGAGTATTCTTTGCTGATTTTTGTTTAAATGTCATTTGTTTACACTGTGAGCATTGGTGAGTCTCCTCAGATTGAAGGATTCCAACCTTTAAGTGCACAAAAGTAATGGAAAGGGTTCTCATGCAAAGATAAGCTATTAAATGAGAGGGGAGAGTATGCATGAGAAGTGTCTTGGAATATTCACTGCAGCTTTGAGTTGGAGCACTCATTCAGCCCATCATTAGCTCGTGGAATTTGTCCAGAATAAACTAGATATCATGAAATGTAAAATGGTTACATTTAGGTTAAGCTTCTTGTACTACTCATTCAGGTGATAATGCATTCTTCTGTGGCATACTGAGTGCAGAATAATTAGGATTTACATACCTGTGGGAAACAGAAGTATAATGAAAACTCTTTCTTTACAGGTATGTAAATCTCTGAAAACAATGGAAAGTAAGATTAGTTTAAAAATACATGTTTATACTTGCCGTATATTATCGTAATTTTGTGTTGACTAACTGAATTTTATGTGCTAGTTTATGTATTTCTTTTATTACATGTAAATACTGACTAGAAGAAACACTATTTTTTTTCTTTTTTACAGAAACTGAAGGTGAAGAACTGGAAAAACCTAGAGTCCTCTGGGCAGTATATTTTAACATGAGAGATTCTTCAGGAATTGACAGAAATTCATACAGTGGTTTGCCCTCAAATGTGTATGTCTGTTCTGGCCCAGACTCAGCTTTAGGAAATGACTGTGCTGTCAAACAGGTTAGTAGGACCACTGCTTTTTTTGAATGCAGAATTTCTATTTGAAGTACAGTGCAGTCTGTTTTTCTTCTGAGTTATTCTGCCTTTTGCTAAGTAAGCAATAATAATATATCTATAAAGGTTCACAACTGGACAGAAAAAAGTGAATGTCAGTGGAATTGAGAATGGAAGAAACTTCAGAAAAGGGCAGTTAGTGTATTGACATTAGGAGTGTCTATAGTGTACTCTATACCAAAAAGGTATAGAGTATTTAGAAAGTAGCAGTACCTGAAGATGATGTTCTTGGTAGGATTTTTACTTGCTTTAAAACTTGTATTTCAGTGATACAGCCCTCTAAAGTGTGGTCTTTTGCATGTCAGGTTAAAGGAGAAAACTGTAGAGAAGCAGTATAAATGAAAAGTCAGAAAATCCTGTTTACAGGTCAACTTGGAAAAGATGTCAAAGTAGTTTAATACCTGTAGGAGTTAGCCACAAACCTAAAACCTGCTGGGGCAAGAAAACAGCATAATTACTAGTCTGTTATGTTAAGCTATCTGTCAGCTTACCTTGCCTTTACTTTAGTACCACTGTATAAAAAAATTTATAGTGCAGTTGTGTCTCTGAAAGCGTTGAGGGGAATCTCACTCTACTTAACCTTGAGATAGTATTTGGCACGAAGTCACATTCAGTTCTAACTTTTATTTCTCAGTATTTGAGTGTCTGTGTATCTATTTCCACCTAGCTGAAATCCTGAATTGAGAACCACTTGCAACTTGCCTGACAGTAGACTTAACTGACAGTGCTCAAATAAAGACGAAATGTGAAAGGTTAGAAGTGAAAGCTCCATAGAAAAAAAAGTAGGTGGAGAAGTTGTGAAGCAGCTGCCTTCTGTGTTGGCTGTAGGCAGAGTATGCAGGAACACAAGATCATCAGGGGTGCATACTTAGAAATTTGCTACTATTCAACTACTATTGAACAGAAGACAAAATCTTGAGACTATGACTTATTCAACAGGAGAAGACTGCAGGATTGCTTCTCCTTTGCTCTTCTATTAAAAGAGCAGTTTTGACAAGGAAAGTATAAATTCTTAGGCTAATCTGCCACAGCAGATTTGTCAGGGTACTTTCAGACCTGATCTGTGAGAACTTTTACATCTTTGTAGTATTAACTGGCACTACTTGTTTTTAAAGCTGTTTTTTTAATGGCACATTCAGAGAATGTACATGCTATCTTCTAACTAGTTGCAGGATTTTTTATGACTAAGTCATAAACCTCTTAAAATAAGAGTTTAAAATGTAAAGGCTGACATAGTCTGAACTGTAGGGTCAGAACAGTGTAATTAAGGGCTAATAGTACCCTTCATTTTGCTTTACAAGGCAATAATTTGCCTCCTCATAGAATAAAGGATTGTGAAGACAAAAAATAATGCAAGACAATTATTATGGTAGCAGTTTTAAATTGTAAATGAATCCTTTTTTAAATGAGATTTTTTTTTCAAGATAACTTGAATCCTACCAGTTAAAAGTGGTTTCAAATCTTGTTTTTTATATTTGTTAAACAGCCTATTTACAATTCAGGTATCCACCTTTTCTAGTGTTCAGCTTTGTTCTATTTTAAGTGCTCCATTTCTGACTAATGAGTAGATCAAGCTGTTTGTAAGCAGCATAATTGTAGTTTGCCTTTATTTTAGTGATGATCAACAGATTGCACATGGAAGTTAACTGAATACATGTCAGAGGACAAAAAGTAAAAAAGAGCCTGAGTCTCTGGCTTTCAGAAAGAGTAGAGGTTAAGGGTTTTTGAATCTATTTTAGATTTTGAAACAGACAATCACTGATTTGAGTGAAAATGATCTTAGTGTAAACATGTTTGTAATTAGAAGTTATGGGGGGGGAAAGAAAAGTAAGGAGTGTGTGTTAAGACCAAATGAATGTAAGGCAGGTAGAACATACTCTTCCCATCTACTGTGCAGGTATCTTTGAGACAAGTGGAGGAGGGAGATAGGCATGAAATCAGCTGTGTCCTCTGCTCCCCAATCACTTTCATTTTCCTAGTAGCTAGTGGGAATCTCTAAACATGCATTACTTACAAATTCATGGATTAGACTATATTTTTAAAAACAGTGTGTATTAGTTTTGGTGATAAGTTATACGCAGTTTTTCAAGCTATCTAACCAATTCTCTTCACTAGTTTTTTTTTTTCATTATTGTCATTAGTTATTTCTGCTAGGTTCTTTGAATGTATTGATTTATTGTGCTACCTCACCTTACAAATAATGATTATCTATTTGCAGCTCAGTACACAGATTACTTCTTGTTTTATTTTAAATTAGTGATAGATTTTTAGTGTAATGTTAGTTTAATAATGCTGATTAGTCTGTGTGCCATCAGGGGGAATAGTTAGGATGAAGTAAAGCAGAAATAAACCATAATTTTATTCAACTTAAAGCAATTTGACAGTTGTAAATTGGAATACCTGTGCAAGTGCTTCACATGCTTACATCTTACTGCGTAATCAAATGTGCACGTAAACCTCTGGTATACTTAACTATGAAGGAGCTATTTACTAACTTAATTACTTACAGTAAATATCAATATGGTATTATAAAGAATATGTCAAGTTATTAGTTATTCCGCATGACTTCAGCTGGGTAAGGTTAACTTAAAAAATTGTCAGACCTGAAAGCACTCTGTACCATTAAATTGTTCAATTATAATCAATGTCATCATGTCCTACATGGCATACTGAGAATTTCTTTCCTCATAATTATTTGACCATTTTTGTTCTTCAATTAATTGGAGGCTAAAATTGTTCAGAAATGCAACTGGAAATGTTTATATGCTCTAGCTTGTTATATGCTTAGTGGAAAATATGGCGTTTTTCCTCGGTATTCTGTTATGTATAGTAATTTAAATATGCTTTTGATGTTTCAAGGACAATTGCAGCCTTGAAATATTTCTCTTACATTCAAAAACGTACCTTTGTAAGACTTTTATTGGACATTTGCTCTCCTTTGTCTTCCAGAATTATAAGGCAGAGTTTTTAAATTGCTAAACAGTATTTTTGAAATATATAGAATATTTTTTGTATATTTATTCACATGCTAATATAAATTATTATTATTTTTTTTAAGTTATGAATGGGTATGGAAAAGTGAAATATAGGAAGTGGACTAAAAAATGAAATTGAAACTGGAAGTAGACAGGGTCATTTAGGCATTTAGTAATGAACCCCTACATTCAGTTGCTGGTGATACAAATCCACTACTGGTGAGCAGTCAGGTTTATCACAGAAAGCTGTTTGGTACATGCTCAATGCTGTATTAATCTGAAAACAATTTTCCCTTGTCCAGGAATCCACACTGTGTAATCAGCCTTAGCAGTTGGCAGTAACTGACTCTACTGACTCTTTTGGTGCAGCATCTGCTACTACTATCAATATAAAAATTACCTATATTGTTGCCCTGTGGGTGCTCTCATTATAGTTATTTTTAGGGCATAGTTTACTAAACAGGCAAAATTGAGAGACAGTGGTCCTTGCCTTTGAAGAAAGGCAAAACAGAACTGGTGTCTGTATCAGTTGTCTCCATTTACTGTGGAATCCAAGGGGGTTGGAAAAGAAAACCTTGATGGTCGTTGTGGTGGTTTAACTTCAGTAGGGAGCTCAGCAGCACCTTGCCACTCTCACTCTCCTACCACAGAAGAACAGGGAGAGAAAATACTATGAAAAGAAAGCACATGGATTGAGATAAGGACAGGAAAATCATTCACCAGTTACTGTTATAGGCAAAACAGACTCTGTATAAAGGCAACTCACGTAATTTATTGCCTGTTAACAGATCAGAGCAGTGAGAACTAAAATTGCCTTCCCCCCATCCACCTTCTTCTACCTTATCCCCCTGAGTGCAGAGGAATGGGGTCTGCTCCCATGGGATGCTGTCCTTCCCGAATGGATACCATGTGGGCTCCCCATGCAGCTGCAGCTCTTCAGACACTGCTTCAGTGTGTCTCCATACCATGGTGTCCATCCTTCAGAAATTGCCCTAGCACAGGTCCTCACAAGTGGCACCTCCTGCCCCACCACAGGCTTCTCCCCATAGGCAACAGTCTGGGGTCTGTTCCTTTAGGGAGCTTTCTGTGAGCTGCAGCTTCCTTCAGGCCGCGTTCACTGCTGCACCGTGGGCTTCTCCATGAGATCTTTTCCATATGGGCTGCAAGAGGACAACCTGCTCTGACTTGGGCCTCTCCTGGGGTGCAGGGGAGCTTCTGCTCTGGTACTAACAATTTCCTGGCTTTGCTGGATCCTTTTCACTGGAAAGAGGCAAGATCTTTCCCATCACTTTGATTTGAACTGGAGTCAGAGATATTTTTGTAATGGAAAAGTTTGGTTTTTTTGTTGTTTTTTTTTTTTTAAACAATTGCAGAATATGTTTACAAAACTGCAAAATATTAAGTCAGTATTGATCTGAAATAATAGATAATTTAAATTTCTGCACAATGCTTACATAAGGTATTACATTCCAAGGTATAGTTGTTTTACTATGTTTGTTTTCTTTAATAGGCTGAGACTGTTTTCCAGGAAATGTTTCCTACAGAGGAATTTTGTCCAGCACCACCAAATCCAGAAGATATTATTTATGATGAAGATGAGATTGCATCAGAAGAGACAGGATTCAATAATTCGCCAGAGACAAAACCTGAATCCTCACTTCAGGAAAGCAGTAGCAGAGGTAGTACTGGTGTTAAAGAGCATACTGAGGAATGAATTAGCTCTGCTCTCTTAACAGAAGAGGCACTTGGCAGAACTTGAAGGGAGGAAGGGAAAAAAAAAAAAGAGGTTGAAAAAAACCCTTGGTGATACTATTTGTGATTGCCTTACTTTCCTTAGCTTGAATAATCTTTCTTATTCAAATAGCTTCATTACTAGCTATTGCTCAGTAAAGTCATAAGTCTAACTGGTACAGGGGTGTTAATAGCTGAAATAAGGTAAAAGTTATGAAACAAAGTATTTGAGTTTAAGATGTTAAAATATAATTAATTACTTTTTGGGATAATTTGGTTTTGGTTTACGTCTTGGAAAGAATCCTCTATCTTTTAGACAGTGAAGTCAAAACTAACTGCAAGATCATGAAAGGTTGCTTACTAGTAAGAGGATCACCTTCTGTTCTAAAGTGTCGGAGTTCTGCTAAAAGTCATTGTGCCTGTGCTAGTTCAATGTCAGCTTAATTATCTGTAATTCAGATTGCTTTTTAGGAAAGAATCTTAAAGGTGATAATATTGACAGTTCTGGAATGGTGTTATAACACATGAGATGTCATGTTTAATTTGCATAGTGGAAAAAAAAATAGTGGCTTTGAAACTGAAGCCGTGAATTAGAAATAAGTATAGTTCAGTGGATGTTCCACACAGGGAACAGTTTTTACATTCAGAATGCTTTCCCTTTAGAAGATTGCATAATCACACTTTTTTTACCAGATACTTTATTTTCTGTAGCACAAATTCAAACTGAATGCTAGACTTCCCAACAAAATTCAAACTCATCTACTGAGCATAACTATTGTTATCTTCCCTGGATTTATGGTAGTGTTTGGACCTCTCATAAGCCAGTAATTGTTTGTTTGCAAGTACGATGTCTGAGCATTTTAGCGATGAACTGAGGTGTTCCTGCAGAGAAGGTAAACCTGCTGAGGAGAAGGTTCAACTGCTAATTCTAAAGGTTTGTATTGATCCCAGTTAAGGGGATTAAAACTAGTGTGATAGCTGTACATGCTGTGTTTTGTAATTATAATCATAAAACATTTATACGATAAAATTTATTAAACTATTTATAACAGTAGTTTATATGAAGAGTTACGGAATGAGAAAGCTGTTGTAAATGACCAGGATAGACTTGCACTTCTTCTGAACAATGCTTGAAGTTAGACATTCAGACTATGAAAAATAATTTAGCATTTATTTTAAGATTTACCTGAAAACATACACCAGATTAACAGTGCGTCCAAATAGAGAGATCAGTGAATTCTGACGAGACAGAGTTCAAGCTTGCACCTGAACTTAGATGTAGTTCTGGCAGTGCTAACAGAGTGTGTGAATAAGAATGCCATTGAGTGATGAATATTCAGCATTGTCTGAACCTGACACGACCAAATTTTTGTAGAGTTTTAAAGTGCATGTGCCTGCCTTTAAAGTGGCTTCGTGCCATAAAGGTTAATTAATTTATTTTTTTACAGCATGACTGATACAGTTAACTTTGGCTTGCATCATAATATGTTGTCCAATTTGCATTTCAAAAACTAGTTTTTTAGTGTTTACCTTCCTTGCATATTGGATAGACACTGTTGTGCATATAATCCCAAAGACCCCAGAAAAATGTCATTAAAATGTTACCGGTGTTAAACAACAGTTATCTTTGGATGCTTGTCGTTGAGCAGTTATATATATTATATTATTAAGCAGACTTATTCTTTGTTAACTGTAATTACTTAGTGTGTATTGGAAAGCATGAGTATCTAGTAATTGTATTTAACATCTAAAAATCTGTGGAAGTGGAGGACCCTGTACTTGTTTGTCTTTTGGTAGTGGGGATCATAGTTGAATTTTTCATTTTCTATGTTTACAAGGAAATTGTCATGAAAATTAAAGGTTTGCTTGCAAGTGCATTTTTGTGTGTTTTCTTTCAACCAAACAAGAAAAGCAGTTCATTTGCTAGCAGAAACTTTCTGATAATTTTGTTCTTTACTTTCAGCATGTTGCCAGCTGTAATGTGATTGAAGTTTAATGTGTGTTGACAGTATGTTTACATAAAATGTTTTATGTAAAATAACAAATTTTTTAAAAGTAACATCTTAGTACTTAATGTCCATGTGAAGTGAAGTTTGGTAATCCTGCAAAAGTGATTTTAGATGAGACAGAATAATCTGCAAGTTATAGGTTATGACTTTACACTACATTGATTGCTTAAAAATGTTTTCATGCTTTATTCTTGTGGTAAATGGAAACGTAAAGTGCTTTTCCTATGCTACTTGAGTACCCAATTGCAAGCTTACTTGCAGTACCAGTAGATAACACTTTTTATTTTACAGAACTGCATTTTGTTCTTGCTTTAAATGATTTAAGCATACAAAGTGAGGGTTAAGCTTATTTGAAGTAGTTTTTAAGGCTTGTCATACAGGATGTATTCAAAAGATAACATGACTTTTTAAAAACTGGCAATTTATCTGTAGGATTATTAATAAATCAAGTTAAAGAAAGATAAGGTTAATTGAATTTTTAAACAAGTAGCTGTATTATCCTTCAAGCACCTTGGAGCTCATACAATATTCACACTTTTTTTTTTTTTGAGGAGTGCTTTGATATGTTGGAATTCCTTTTTTAATGAGTACTTTCTTTTTCACTTGGTTAATTGGGTTAACCCTTAATATTCAAACAGTCAATTTTATGCCATTTTCCCTTCTGCTGTTGTATTGCATTATCTCTGTGATGGCAATTAGTTACCCTTCCTTTAGAAGTATTTTCGGTTATGAAGCTGCTACGTCTGCTTTTTTCTGGTGATGATGATGCTTAGGGCCATTTGACAGGTAATCATTAGAACTTGGATCCTTGCAGGCTATGGGGTCTTTTAGCCTATCATTGCTGGGGGATTTATGTGGGTAACTCCTATTAATGTTAATGGGACTTGCATGTGTAAATCCTCCTTGCATCAATGGGAAAATTGACCCCTGGAAAAAGAAAATCTTCATGTCAGACTTGCTGATTCAGAAAGTCCAAGCACTCTCAGCTCCTATATTGGAAATGCAAAGGGCGGATAGGTGCTAGCTAGCCAAATCTTTGTACATGAGCAGTGTGAATTGCAGTAACTTAATTTCAAGTACAGTTTGCTTGATCTATTGATTAATGACAAGTAGGAAATATTAAAATAATGTTTTCATGCAAAGAGACTGGGTTGCTTATAGTCCCTGTTCTCAGCTGTTGAAAAGATGAAGATTGCTGTCTCAACACTTTTCCACCTGGCACTGGGAAAACATCGACTACCTGCTTTCCACATGTGGTGGAAAAGAAGGAAAAAAAGATGGAAACAGCTAAAAAAGGGTTATTGTGGTGGGAGGGGGATGATAAAATGCGAGCATTGTAACCTCCATGCTTTAAGATCAATTGTCTTGCACTTTTATTTTACTGTTCTGCTCTGTGAGATTACACAATTTCTAATTGCTGATGGATTTGGAGGGGGGTGGTAAAAACCTTATATGCTTTAGGGAATTGAGGCAACAACAATTAGAAAAAACCTTATAAACGGAGCAGTAGCTGACACTTGCACTGAAGAGTTCACAGTAGAACTGAGAGTATTATTTGTTTGTTTATCTGTGGTTATATTTGTCCATCCTTGATCACGCATTTTACTGCTTAGTCAGTTACTGTTGTAGGTCTTTTGTATAATCCTCTGCAGTATTGCAGTACATTTTGGTTTTTCACATTAACAGTTTACTATCAGCAGCAAACTTCCACACTCCTTTTCTTAAAATCATTTCTGAGCATATTCAACTACTCAGACTTGAGACTATGCCTATTTTTTTTCTCACTGTCATGATTAGGTTTGGTATTTTTTCAGGAGTTTCTAAGGGGTCTTGCTTGAAGTTTCAGGGAAGGCTAACATCACTATCACCTGGCTGTTCTGTAACCATCAAATTAGACTTCTCAAAATTTTCTGTAGATTTTTGAAGCATAGCTTTTCTTTGTGAAATACTTGTTAACTCTTCACCAGTATTATGATTGTTCATACCTGTTCTTTTGTTGCAGTGCTTTCTGTCAATATGCATGTTATGGAAATAGTAGTAACCATAAAGCCAAGTCCTTTGAAAAACCAAATAACTAAACAAACAACTCACTCCCTTAAGAAAAAGAAAAGTTCCATCTCCTTAAATAGGAGGAAATCTGATATCAAAGCAACTATTCCGTTGCTATGAATATAAATAGCAGCAGCAATAGAGATGTTTCTCCTGACTTTTCTGCCATAACAAATGTTCTGTTCACTCCTTAATAGTCAATAAGATCTGTAGGTTCTGGTGGTTTGTCTGCTGATGATGATCCTTTTTTTTTTTTCCTTTAAGATTCTGTGCCTTGTTGTTTAATTTCACTTCTGTTGTTCTGGCAGCCCAAGTTCCTAAAATACAAACATATTGCATTTATGAATGTAATTCCTATGTGATCAATGTGCTGGCTAAATTTCTTATTTCAAGTTTAATATTGAAGTCACACTGTAAAACCTAATTGATGTTTTTGTGTATATGCTGAGTTCTTACAGTACATATAGCTCTGTGTGTGTATATAAACATATATAAATAGCTACTATGACAAAATGAATAACTCATAAAAGTTTGTCGTTTAAACCTTTGCAGAAATCAACCACTATACAGTGTCCAAAAATTAGAATTACTTGCTATTACCAAAGCTGTCAAAAGTATGTGGAAGGGTGGTAATGTTGATGGAGTTGCTTGTGTTCCTTTGGTAAGTAGTAAAGCCAAGTATTTTAGTAAGATTTGGGAGTAGTTGTAAGAGTAGAAGTTTGAGACACCAAATCTTAAATGTTCATTTTCTGCAACGCACTTTGGTAGTAAGATGACCTCAGTAATCAGATAAAAAGCTTACCTTAGTTGTGTATGATTTAAAGTATACTTTTTTTTAATGGGACAACAATTAATGTAGGTGGACACTTTCAGCTGTGGAGGTAACTGGCAGGAAATGGTCAGCCACATGGAATTACTGATGTCAGCCTCATCACAAGCCCCAAAATTACTTTGGTTGTAAATTGAGCTCATTAGCAATTCGAATATTATGTTTATTTACAGGCTGCCAATTTCTGTTTGTTGCAGTGGCTGGTTCTTCAAAATCTGGATGGGAAGCTTGTCAGAAATGTTGTAAATCTCAGTGACATTTGAGATTTAGCAAGTTGACAGTGGAGTATCAGGAAAATGCAGTTGTTCACTGTATGGAGTTCTGATCAGAGGACACTTTAATAGAAAATCCTCCTCTTGTCACAGTTTTAACAAACGGTATATTTTAAACTACTTGTATACATTGACACAAATATGGAAGGTATCAACCTGAATGTATATCAAGGCCAGATATATTTGAGTAAACAATGGCTGAGTAGACAATGGCTAACTCCCAGTGTATAAAATGCTGTTCAAATGGCAGTTTTATGTAGGTTAGGTGTAATCTTGGTGAAGAGCTTATTTGCGAGTGTTGATTTTTTTTTTGTTGTTTTTTTTGTTTGGTTGTTTAATTAATCTGGCCAGTGTACTGAATTCAGTAGTACGTTATCTTTACCTGGTTTTAATGTTTTCCTATTAACTGTGGGATTTTTTTTCACTCTAAAGGTTTAAGCATCAAATAGATTTAAAATACTTTCTTAGTGACAATCTAATCTTTTATTACCACAAGAGGCATGGTGCAAGGAAATTGTACTTTTTAATATGGATAATACTAATTTTTAGGAAAACTCAGAACATCCACATTTTTAGAGACAGCTTTTCAGGACCTCATACTTCATTCTGAAGCACTATTCTGTAGCTGTTAATATATATTTGGGTCTCTGGAGAAGGCTTTAGTGCTGTTGCTCCATTCTCTGCATTTAACACTTCAGTAAGTGGGACATGCCAAAGGCTGTGGATTCTCCATCTGTCTTCTCAAACAGAGGAGTGTCTTCTCTGAGGTGTTACTGCATGATAGCAATCACCATTTGTGGCTAACAAATGTGGCTTCAGCGTTTTCAGCTGCTCCAGCTTCAGAAAGCTATCTCTGTAGTTTGATACTGATAGCTTTATCTTATTCCATTTAATTTGCCCGAAACACAGTGTTGGACCAAGAAATGATTCTCCATTGAAAGCAGTTGTTTTCTCAGTTCTGAAACTGTTGGGTTAGCAAGTCTTCAGTAGCACAATGATGAAACGTCTGGATAATAACATCATTGAAATTAGATGCTTCAAGGCCTAGTTCACTAGTCATAAAACCAGTCTGCTGTTTTGTCAGGAAGCTGCAATTCTGTAACCGAGTTGAATGGCCAGGCTGAGAAACATATGTTTCATTGCTGGGCAACGCTGTCCTAGAAACTCAAGATCTGGAAAAGGGTAGCTTGAAAGATTCATCTCAAATGAATTTAAATGCTCCCGTGCTATGTTTTAATGAGTTGGTAAGAAACTTTATAATAGCCAGTGTGGACTATTGAATCTACTCTAATTTAAACCCAAGCATATTTCTGGAGCTCACCCAAGGCAAATCCATTTAATCATTATGAGAGACCAGCTGTCAGACCAATCGAACAGAACATTTTTTTCTGGGAATTTTTCAGTAGCATGAAAGCCACTGCTAGTTGTGGTCAAGTCCTTTGTTGTGAATTCAGCCTGTTTTCCTATTCAAAAATTTGTGTAAGCCCTAGCTTTCAGCCTTCAGTGAAGAATTTTAAACTTGTAGATCATTCAGAGATAATTATATAATTCTTACCATAACTTTAAAAAAATTAGTCATGTGGTATTTTTCATGTTCTGTAGTTGGATTCTGATATAATACACAAAACTGAATTTTAAAAATGGCATATTCATTTTTTCTCATGTTTTTAAGACAAAAATAAATACTTTTATGAAGAACAAAAAATGCAATCCACAAT